TAAGAAAGTAACAACTTGCACACAATATGTGCATCAACTGTTTGTTCCCAAAACTTACTCAAGAGCTTAAGCTAAATAAGTTTAACGGCTGGAACCTGCATTGTTGTTTTTTCTTATTACTGATAAGAAAAATTGCCCCAAATAATTGTTTTAAATTGCCATTGTCCCTTCCAGTTTCCCAAATCAAATCATATACTATTGGTCTGTAAATTTAAGATCAATTGCTTCTTTGATACACAAGGCTAAACTTTACAATTTTGGAGAAGGCATAGAATGTTACAATCCTTAAGGGAAAACCAGGTAATTCTCCTTTTCTACCCCTTTGGCAATGTAAACCCACGTTATTGGGAGGTGATTTAATTTTGTATATTTATAATACTATAAGTATAATTATATAAAATATCTTTATTATAAATAAATAGTCTAGTGTATAAGATTCTAATAATATGAATAACAAGTGGTAATTCTAAAAAATTTTTTTAGCCTAATGGAGTTTACAAACTCTCGTAAATTTTTATAAAATCTTGAATTCTCAGCACATTTCTTCATTCAACAAATATATTACTTACGGCCTGTTAGTCACCTGACATGCTGAGGGTACTAGGAAGGTCTTAGGAGAAAATAATTCAGTTGGCACCTTTCTGTTGTCTGATACATTATACACCAAATTGATTATTCTTGCACTGAAATTATTGTTTATGATGAATGCCTTGCATTGGCGTTTAGAATCATTTGTAAGTACGCTAAAATATTCTTCTGTGCCCCAAGAACTCTGATCCTCTGAACTTCTGGATCAAATATTCCTTATCCATTATGTCAGGGACACACATTTTGGGGACATGCAGGCTGCATAGCAATGGATTAGGGATGGCACTCTGTAAGGAGAGGGCGAGCCTGTGGCTGCTCCTGTGAGCTCAGAGCTTAACCCAGCTCTGAACCTTGGCTGAAGTGAGGTGACTGCACAGCCTGCACCAGCTACTCTACACAGTTGGGCACGCACGGTTTGAGGGCCTGCACCCCATTTATCAGGTTGCACAGTGGGGTTTTGGCTACGTGGTCAATGAGGTAGAAAAGGTCTCTTGGAAACTGTGGTACTTATCAGCTCTTTCAGTCACCACAGTTTTTAACATATGGAAAATGCAGTGATTGAGATTCACCAATCAGGACTTTTCTTAGAGTGATTATAAATAAAAGATGATTTTCAGTTCATTATTTTAGCACTGTTAGAAACTTCCTTAAATTTTCTCTTGTAATGCAAATTCAAACCATGCCATTGAAGAAGATCACCCGATTGTAGTATAGAGAGAGATGATGCATAATCGCAATAAAAGTTCTCACCCTTTTACAAGGCTGTCGATTCCATTTGTGAAGGGAGAATGTCCTCACAAGGTGTCACTCCGCTTTGTCCAACATTTGCTACTAATGACAAGGTAGAAGGGTGAACGTGGTGTAGACGGTGTCATTGGTGTAGACTCTGCATGTTTGGGCCTCAGGCTATAGGTTGCCAACACCTGCTCACTATCATCCGTTATACTGCAGCACGGGAATTCTGAAATTCAAAAGAATTCAACCTAGTTGATGTTGGACTACACTGAACCCAGCATAAATAGGAGTCTACCCTAGGCAAGAGGCGATATCATTTTTGTGACAAGAAAATTCTTATTGAAGTTGTAAGACTATTTCCTTCTTTTGAGACTTTTAAATTTCTCAATCATCTTACAGTTTAAAACTTAGAAATTGCCATTGTAACTGTTTCTATTTTAAATTTCTGAATGGTTCTAGAACTAGTAGCCATGATCATATTTAATAGAGAGAGATTGTATTACATATATCTGTGAGTGCATTAGTCCTGAGATATACCCATTGTCAACTTTATAAAGGGCTGAAAACTAGTTCTCCAAAGTGCTAACAAAACTTGACCTGCCGTTAGCAGTGGATGAGAGTTCACAGTTCTCCACATCCAACCACCATTTGGTATGCAACACTTAATACTTGCTTCTGCTTCACCTTCTACCATGAGTAAAAGCTTCCTGAAGCCTCCCCAGAAGCCAGACAGATGCTGGTGCCGTGCTTGACAGCCTGAAGAACCAGGATCCAATTACACTTCTTTTCTTATAAATTACCCAGTCTCAGGTGTTCCTTTATAGCAACACAAGAGTGGCCTAGCAAACCATATGTATTCTATAACATCATGTTGTATACCTTAAATATACCTAGTAACGTTTATTGAAACATTCAATACCAAGTCTTGTAATATTTTCTAAGCTTTCTTTAAAAAGCTTTATAGTTTTGTATTTTGCGCTTGTGCCTGTGATCCATTTTGCATTAATTTCTGTGTAAGATGTAAGATCTGTGTCTACGTTTATTTTTTTTAATCATCATTATGATTATTTGCATAAGGACATTCAACATTTACAGCATCATTTGTTGAGAAAAGTATCCTTTTTCTGTTGAGTTTCCTTCAGGTCTTTTAAGAATCAGTTGACTATTTTTGTGTGGGCTTTCTATTCTCTTCTATTGATCTATCTGTCTATGATTTCAGCAATAGCACGTTGTCTTGATTATTGTAGCTTCATAGTAAATATTGAAATCACGTAGTGTGTCTTCCATCTTTGTTCTTCTTCAGTAATGTTTTGGCTATTTTAGGTTCTTTCTCATTCCGTATACATTTTAGAATCAGTTTTGCAATATCTGCAAAATATTTTGCTGGGAATTTTCTCGGAATTAAGTTGAATCTTTAGATCCAATTGGGAATAATTGATATGTTAGCAATATTGAGTCTTCCAATTTATGATCATAGACTGTCACTCTATTTCTTTAGATTTTTGATTTCTTTCATTAGAATTCTACAGTTTTCCATAAAAATCCTACACATATTTTGTTAGCTTTATACTAATAAGTGCTTCATTTTTGGTGCTGTTGCAAATGGCTTTTCTAAATTTTAAATTCTAATTGTTCATTAAGTAAATATTTTAGAGTTTACTTGTTATTAAATTCACTTAGATATTATCTTTTCTTTTTTTGTTATTAATGAGGTGATCTCTTTTGTTATAAATTCTAATACACACATATATCTTCTAATCCATTATGTATATGTAGAAATAGATATTTTGTGTATAATATATATATGAGTTATTTCTCTATATCAATTTTACAATCTGCTACCTTATTAAATTATCTTATTTTTGTGTTAATGCTCACATCATAAATTCCAGTTAGCTCATTTCCTCCTTTCTAGTTGTTTGTTTCTGATTTTATTCCTAACACCTTGCTCCTAACTTTAGTGGAAACCTCGAGTTTTTCTTCCTTAAGAGAGATGATGCATTTGGGCTGAGGCATACGAGAAATATCACAAATTTCTATTTGTTTGTTTTTAACATTAACGAGTGATGAATTATGTCAAATGTCATATGTATGTGTGTATATATATATGAAAATCATGCTTTTTTTCTTACCTTTAACGTTTCGTTAATGTGTGTATTAGTCCATTCTCATGCTGCTATGAAGAAATACCTGAGACTGGATAATTTTTTTAAAAAAAGTTTAATTGACTCACAGTTCCACATGGTTGAGGAGTCCTCAGGAAACTTACAATCATGGTGGAAGGACCTCTTCACAGGGCGGCAGGAGAGAGAATGAGTGCGAGCAGGGGAAATGTTAGACCTTATAAAACCATCATATCTCATGAGAACTCACCCACTATCACGAGAACAACATGGGAAAAACGGACCCCATGATTCAATTACCTCCCTCCAGTCCCTCCCACGACATGTGAGGATCATAATTAAAGATGAAATTCAGGTGGGGATACAGCCAAACCATGTCAATGTACTTTCTAATACTGAACCACTCTTGAATTTTTAGAGTAAACCTCATTGCCCGTGATGTACTTCTTTTCAGATAAATTATTTTGTACTTAATTCTTTTTCTTATAATTTTATGTGAGAATTGACTGGGATTCTGTGTGTTTGCTGATTTTTAAGTGAAATGTTTTTCCTTTACTTTTTGGAGGGATAATTGAACCAGGACAGCTTTCTAGTCTCACAGCTTGAGAGTTCTCCCTGTCCCTTAAAAAAGAAATTATGTGGGCTTCAGGGTGTGATAAAAGAGACGAACTCGCAATTTCTGAGGTTGTTTTCTCTGTTCTTCTTGTTCCTTTTATCTGGATCTTCCTGATGTGCAGACTTTTGTTCTGGAAGGTGTCTGGTTTTCAGTTTTGAGGTTCACACGACCCTGGACCCAAGGCAATTTCAGCACCATTAGAACTCCTCATGGTTTTGTTATCCTCATTCATTTAGCATTTTGTATCTATGCAAGTGAATGAATGTCATGGAATGTTTCCACCACAAATACATGAAAAATGTCTGAGGTGATGGATATCCTAGTTACTCCGACTTGATCACTGCACATTGTATGCATGTATCAAACTATCAGATGTATCCCATACATATGTATGATTATTATGTATCAATAAAAATAAAAACTGAGCCGGGGTGGTGGCTCATGCCTGTAATCCTGGCACTTTAGGAGGCCGAGGTGGGCAGATCACAAGGTCAGGAGTTTGAGACCAGCCTGGCCAACGTGGTCTTTTAGTAGAGATGGCCAATCCCGTCTCTACTAAAAATACAAAAGTTAGCCGTGTGTGGTGGTGGGCTCCTGTAATCCCAGCTACTTGGGAGGCTGAGGCAGGAGAATTGCTTGAAACAGGAAGGCGGAGGTTGTAGTGAGCTGAGATCAAGCCACTGCACTCCAGCCTGGGCGAAAGAGTAAAACTCTGTCTCAATAAATAAATAAATAAATAAATTTAAAAATGAAATAAAAAAAAAAAAAAACTAAAAAACCCACATGAATATGTACAAAACACTGAGAGAATAAATGTTGACCTCACAGAAGGGTCTTGGCTTGAAGGTAAACGTAGACTCTTGCAGTACATTGTGTGGATGTGAAGACCGACAGCAGCAAGACATTCTGTAGGGTAGTGTTTCAAACTGCAGCCAGTGAAAATACACTCAATTTCCCACAGGTTCCTGATGAGACTGAGAGAAACCTGGTGAAGTGTCAGTAAGAGAACACAAATGTCTGCCTCTGCCTCTGCTTCGTGTCAGGGTTCATGAAATCTGCACCATGTGGAACCCGGGTAAGCCGCGGTGACCTCTTCTTTGCTCTTGTCTTACCTTATTAAAGTTAACGCAGAGTGAAATGATTTTCTGTAAGAGGAAGAAATCTGAGTCACAAATAAAACACTTCGCATACCAAAAATTCAACAATTTGTTTTCAAAATGTCTTCAGATGCAGTGGTATCTGACATCTTCCTCTGAAGCAAGACAATATACCAGGTTTTTGTCTGAATATTTATTCTTCATAGTTGTATTTCAGTGAGTCCTAAATCTCCTTTGTTTTACTCAGTTTCTTGAGTTTTTGCTTAGAAGACATTAATCAGCGCTTCTGGAAGTCTGCATAAATAAAATGTTTATCAGAGCCAAGCATTAATACAAATAATTTTTTTGAAAAAAATTATTAACATTAAATTATAACACTGTTACCAAAGTTTTCAAAATACACACGCTTAATCAGAAAATACAAAAGATTATCTGTCCAAAGAACGTGTATTAACCACTAAATTCAGCCCATATATATTTATTATATGAATAATATAATGAGGGCATTTATAAATGAATGCCCTGATTATAAATTAATGTCCTGATTATATTATTCATTTTTATTTTTTATAAACTAATGCCCTGATAATATGTTGTAAACCTAAGGGAACTGGGACAGGAACAAGGATTAACAGTGTCTATCTATATATTTAAAGGGATAATGTATTTAGAAACATCCCTGTTAACCATCTGAGTAATTACGTGGGCAGGGTACTTGAGATATGCTGAATTTTTATGGCAGAATCTTCAGCATATGGATTCCTTGTGTGTAATTTGGAAGTTTTTTTTTACATTACTGTATGATAATATAGTAATATAGATTAATATGTAGTAATAGAGATGCCTTGTAAACTTCAAAGGTGTGGTAAACATTTAATCTATCATCAAGACAAGGACAGATTTAAGAGTGAAATGAAAGGTGATTTATAATTACCCCCACTGAGGGAGTCTAGAACTGCTCAGGCCAGGCTAGGATGTGTGGTCAGCCCACTCAGGGGCCGTGACTTCCAAGTGAACCCATAACTACATGCATACACAAATGACATACTTGTAACTCAGGAGTCTTAGGAAACCTGGAGGCTTTGGCCTCTTAGGACTCTCAACTTTTAGCAATCAAATTATTCAAGGGATCCAGTTTATTGGGAGACTGAGGCAGGCAGATTGCTTGAGCGCGGAGTTTGAGACCAGCCTGTGCAACATGGCAAAACCTCATCTCTACAAAAAAATACAAAACATTAGTTGGGCGTGGTGGTGTGCACCTGTGGTCCCAGCTCCTTGGGAGGCTGAAGTGGGAGGATCACTTGAACTCAGGAGGTTAAGGCTGCAGTGAGCCATGATCATGCCACTGCACTCTAGCCTGGGTGACAAACTGAGACCCTGTCATAAAAAAAGTTACTTAAAAATAACTTAAGCATCATCCACTTAAATGTGGATGATTTATACAAACAGCAACACATGACAAGAGAGCAATAATGAGCTCTGGGATTATTGAGAGTTTCTGGTCCTCAGATCAATGGGAAGTAATAAAGGTACAAACACACTTGGTGGGGGAGACCTTCCAACAAGGTATTGTGGATTCTAAGAAAAAAGTCATGAGATATTTATCCTTCGAAAGTAAGTCTAATTGAATGAGAGACTTACCATAAGTAGTGAGCTCATTGTTTCAGTTAAGTTGTTGTTTTGTTTGCTTTTTTGTTTTGTTTTTTTGGATTTCAAAGAGACCAAAAAATGAACTAAAAGATGATGTAACCCCCAAAAGAAATGTAATGGAGCATATTATTGGATAAAGAAGATGTACATATACATCATGGGATACTATGCAGCCATGAAAAAGAATGAACCCATGTCCTTTGTAGCAATGCGGATGGAAGTGGAAGTGTTATTCTAAGCAAATTAACACAGGACAGAAAACCAAATATGCATATTTTCACTTATAAGTCGGAACTGAACACTGGGTTTGGTCATGGACACAAAGATGGCAACAATAGACACTGGGGATGAAAAGAAGGGGAAGGAGAAAGTGTGGGGCAAGAGCTGAAAAACTGACGATTGGCCACTATGCTCACTACCTTGGTAATGAGATCATTTCCACACCACATCTCAGCATCACACAATATACCCATTTAAACAAATCTGTACTCTTTTTATGGCTGCATAGTATTCCATGTTGTATATGTGCCACATTTTCTTAATCCAGTCTGTCATTGATGGACATTTGGGTTGGTTCCAAGTCTTTGCTATTGTGAATAGTGCCTCAATAAACATACATGTGAGTGTGTCTTTATAGTAGCATGATTTATAATCCTTTGGGTATATACCCAGTAATGGGATCGCTGGGTCAAATGGTATTTCTAGTTATAGATCCTAGAGGAATCGCCACACTGTCTTCCGGTGTGAGTTCATGTCCTTTGCAGGGACATGGATGAAGCTGGAAACCATCATTCTCAGCAAACTATCACAAGGACAGAGAGCCAAACACTGCATGTTCTCACTCATAGTGGGAATTGAACAATGGGAACACATGGACACAGGGCAGGGAACATCACACACCAGGAACTGAGGTGGGGTGGGAGACGGGGGAGGGATAGTGTTAGGAGAAATACCTAATGTAAATGATGAGTTGATGGGTGCAGCAAACAAACAAATATGGCACATGTATACCTGTGTAACAAACCTGCACATTGTGCACATAGATTAATATGTAGCAATAGAGATGCCTTGTAAACTTCAAAAGTGTGGTAAACATTTAATCTATCATCAAGACAAGGACAGATTTGAGAGTGAAATGAAAGATGATTTATAATTACCACCACTGAGGGAGTCTAGAACTGTACTCTAGAACTTAAAGTATAATAAAAATAAATTTTAAAAATCATATAAACTATTAAACATATACTTAATTTCCAAACAAAGAAGAAAACCTGCCCTCATACCACCGAACCTAAAATAAAAACTGAAAAAAATTCTGTCAGGGTTTATCAAAAGAAGCTTATACGAAAGCCCACATATAAACATATATGAAAGTCTCTTATATGGAAGTTTCTTATATGAAAGCCTATATATAAAAATATATGAGGCCGGGAGTGGTGGCTCATGCCTGTAATCCCAGCACTTTGGGAGGCTGAGCCAGGCGGATCACCTGAGGTCAGGAGTTTGAGACCAGCCTGTCCAACATGGTGAAACCCCATCTCTGCTAAAAATATAAAAATTAGCTGGACATGGTGGCGGGTGCCTGTAATCCCAGCTACTTGGGAGGCTGAGGCAGGAGAATCACTTGAACCCGGGAGGTGGAGGTTGCAGTGACCCGAGATTGCACCACTACACTCCAGCCTGGGCAACAGAGAGAGACTCCATCTCAAAAATAAATAAATAATAATAATAAAAGCATCTGTCTGCCTATCTATCCATCTGTCCGTCTGTCTGTCTCTCCTCATCCTGCTGACCCATTACTATTGAGAGCAGTGCCTCTCTCACAGAAGTGATGATGAATTTGTCCTGGTCCAGTTCAGCCATTCACTGTTTCCTGGACTTCTCTGAAGCATTTAACACTGTCTGATTGAAATTCTCTTTCCTTAGCTACTGTGATTCCACACGGTTTGAATATTATCTTTCTAATTTCCTTTTCTGACATTTACTCTTTGTCTTCTGGTTGGTTCCATTTCCTCTACTATAATCTAAATGTGCCACAGAACTCAGTTTGTTAAACTTCTTTGCAGATCTCCTTTTCTTGGTGATTATATCAGCTCTTATAGTTCCAATAATGTATACCCGAATCCTGAATCAATACTTCCATTCAGATTCTTGTGCTGTTCTCTCACTACCTATTAAATACTCCCACTTGGACATACCATACTTGCCTAATTCTTGAAATCCAAATTGATTTTTTCTCCTTTACACCTCTTGTTTGCCAAGAACACCCTATCTCCAAGCCTCAAAATGTGGGAAACACCTAAGATCCTTCCTTCTTTCCCAACAGCCATCACATCATCCTGGATTTACTTAGAAAACGTCTTTTGCATTCATTGCCACGTATCTTCCAAATGCACCATTCTAGTTCAATTCATCATTCCTTGAGACTGAGATGATTAAACCTATTATTTCTGCCCATCGTGTTTTTATTCCACTCATCAAATTTATCCATTGTAATCCCATTCACTTTCTCAGAATCTGCTTTACATGAGTTTCCTCTCTGCTCCCCACAGCGTTGATGAACGTTCCTCATGGAACAACTTTCAGACTCCTTATCCTGATGGTCTTGTCACAGCTGTTCTAAACCCTACCTTTTGCTTTTGCTTTCAGTACTCTCCACCTGACCCAGCCCTCTGCCCAGCCTTCCAAGCCACATGGCCATGAAGCATTGTGCTGCCTGCGCCTGCTTGGCTTACTGTGCCTTCCTTTAACCTCTTGCTTCTGCAAACCCATCCTCCTCTCCTCTGACAGGGGCCATCACCATCTTCATAAAGAGAGCCAGTGACAAGTTCTGCCCTGGGACCTAAGAATGACCCAAGAAGCCAGGATTACCCAGAACCCCAGATCTGCTGACACCTCCATGTCCTCCACCAAGGCTGGAGAGAAGCAGAACTCTAACCTGAGACAGGTGAGTAGCCTGGGGCCACATCGCCATACTGTCCTCAAGGAAAACCTTTCACAGTTAAGTACACCTTTACTGAACTCTCAAGTCTCTTAACCAATCCCAAGTGTGATTTATGAAAAGTCATGATATTGGATGAAACTTCCTGAAACCAAGTCTCAACCTTTCCTTTTTAAGGTTCAAGCCAAGTCCTAACATTTAAGAAAGTATTAATTCTATTAATCATCTTTGTAGTCATCCCTTTATTCTCTGATCAGTATTTGTTGCAGCAGTTTCTCAGCACAGGTGATTTTCCTTTAATAGAGAAACCACCCATAATTTCAAATTTATTTCATCAGGAAGTGTTCCTCGGGTGCATAATAGAGAAAGGGAAGTATGACCACCCTGCAAAGAAGGAATCACAGAGAAACGTCCTCGAGTGCTTACAGCAGCAAGGTGAGGAGAGAATTCGGTCACTAAGAGACAACTGACTTCAAAAGGTAAATGCAGAAGCTTTCTCTTTGAGAATAGAAACAAGGTGAGCTATTCTCAACAATTCCATTCAACCTTTTATGGGAAATCAGGCCAGTGTAATATGGAAAAAAGAAAAAAAAATCAGCAAGGGAAAAACACTCATCATTTTCATATAAGATTATATACTTAGAAAAATAAAATAAATCTTTATATAAAATATTATAAATAATATGTGAGTTTTGCAAGGTTGCTGGATACAAATTAGTATGTGGCATTACTGAGAACAATGATTTAAAAGTAAGCATTTTAAAATATGCCTCATTTACAATAGCACCAAAAATGTGAAATGCTGCAGAAATGCATACACACATGCACCAGGAGACATGCAAAACCCACCCACAGCAGCACTGTTCGAAATAACCCCAGGGTGAAACCAGCCCATTGGCCATCAAGAGTGAGATGGATGAGTCTGAAAAATATAGTGAGACCTTGTCTCTACAAAAAACGTTTTAAAAAATTAGCTGGCCGGGCACAGTGGCTCATGCCTGTAATCCCAGCACTTTGGGAGGCTGAGGCGGGCGGATCACGAGGTCAGGTGATTGAGACCATCCTGGGTAACACAGTGAAACCCAGTCTCTACGAAAAATACAAAAAATTAGCCGGGCGTGGTGGCGGGTGCCTGTAGTCCCAGATACTCAGGAGGCTGAGGCAGGAGAATGGTGTGAACCCGGGAGGCGGAGCTTGCAGTGAGCAGAGATCGCGCCACTGCACTCCAGCCTGGGCTGCAGAGCAAGACTGTCTCAAAATAAAATAAAATAATAAAAATAAATTTAAAAAAAATTAGCTGAGCATAGTGGCATGCACCTGTAGTCCCAGGAGGCTGAGGTGGCAGGATCACTTGAGCCTGGGAAGTGGAGGTTGCAGTGAGCCAAGATCATGCCACTGCACTCCAGCCCTGGTAACAAAGCAAGGCCCTGTCTAAAAACAAACAAACCGTAAAACAAAAAAGTAGAGTAATGATTCATTTAGAGAAAACGATACAGTAATATAAATGAAAGAATTGCAGCTCTGTAAAACAATACTAATGAATCGCAAAACGTGTTGATGCGTGAAAGAATTGACACCAAATGATTATACACCGTCTGCGGTGGCTTTTCTATGTTCACAAAGAGACCTTCCCACAGGCACATACCTGGCACGACTTCCAAGTGAGAAACTTGGGAGAGAAGACAGGAGGAGACGTGGAATCTTTCCGGGCTAGAAATGTCCATTTCTTGAGGTGTGTAGCGTTTGTGCGCGTTTGGACCTCGGACTGCACGTGTGCCTCGCTCCGGGGCTGGTCTTCAACGGGCAGGACCTGGAGACCGGGTGCACCGAGGCACAGCTGGAAGGTCCTACCCAGAGGCTGCAGGGCAGAGCAGAGGCGCTCGTTCCTTGTGGGAACTGAGCTCCACGGGTCTGCCCGAGTCCTGCAACCTGAGAGTGTGTGGCCGGGGAGCTGAGCACGGGGGTCCCTGGCGCGTCCACCGAAGCTGTGCAGTGGTGCAGGGGACACGGTGCTGGGAAGAGCTGCCGTGCCAGGTCCCATCCTCAGATGCTGTCCGTGCTGAGAGCGCCAGGTTCTTGCGAGCAGGGCCCGGGCAGCCCCTGCAGGGGTTCCGCTCTGCAGAGCGGGCTCTTAGGCGCTCCTTGAATTCTCCGCAGTGAGTGACCCAGAGGGAAGGAGAGCGAGTGGGGAGCCACAAGGCTCGGAGCTGAGTGGGGGCCTCAAGGACCCTTCCAGAATGCGAATGAATATTTACTGGAAAGAGACCATTAACCCAACCCAACCAGAACGCTTTGAAGAGACAAGATGCATTTTCTTTTCCATAGTGGGAAGAAGGGCTCGCCGAGGCAGATGAGCTAGCACAAAAAAGAGGGCGTCTTCCTTTCCAACACATTTGACTGAAGACAGTGTCAGGCTTGCCAGGTCCGTATCACATATATTCATAGGTTCCTTAACCTTTACGTCAGAAGCCAATCCACTTTCCTTCTTCATTCATGCCTTTTATTATTGTGAGATCAAGACTCCCAAAGGAAATTTACTCCTGTGTTTAAAATTGAAGTCTAGCTCGCGCTTCTGAAATGACAAGTGAATAATTCATGCTTGAGAGGGAAGCGCTGGCCGCACTTTGGAGGCGCCGACCCGGGGAGCCTGGTGCCAAGCCAAGCTCTGCTCGGGCCCAGGAGGACGCGGGGACATCGCACTGTCCCCCACTCCTGGCCTGGGCTCCTTTCATCTTGGTCCTAATGATGGAATTAAAGAGGGATGAAAATCTTTGTGAAGAATCTCTGTTAGATGTCTATATGGTTCAGAGAAGCTTCTCAAGTAAACGCCCGGCTGCATAGACTTGGAATTTGCAGAACATTAACATTTAATAACAGGCAGTGTTTACTCCCTCCCCATTCTCCTCTCCTATACACACAGTAGCTCAGACACACACTCACAAACACACACTCACACATGCACACATAACTATACAATCACAACCCTATACTCAAGCTCACAACTACAATCACACATACACACAGCCATGTGCTCACACATGCACATACGACTACACAGTTACACACAACCCTATACTCACACAACTACACATTCACATATGCACAGCCACAGGCACACACATACATATATGACTACATAATCACACACGCAACCCTATCCTCACAAACATACACAACCATATGCTCACACATGTACATACAACTACACAGTCACACACATAACCCTGTACTCATGCATACAACTACACACACATGCAAAACCACATGCTCACACATACACATACTACACAGTCACACAAAACTACACACACACAACCACATGCTCACACATGCATGCATAAGTGCACAATCACAGACACAACCATATACTCAAACTCACAACTGCAATCACACACATTCATACACGGTCACATGCTGTCACATGCACATTCAGCTACATAATCACACACACAACCCTATACTCACACACAACCACATGCTCACACATGCACCCATAACTACACACATGCACAACCATATACTCAAACTCACAACTGCAATCACACACATTCATACACGGTCACATGCTCTCACATGTACATATGACTACATAATTACACACAGCCATATACTCACACACTCAAATACACAATTACACACAACACAATCACATACACACAATAACATGCTCACACATGCATATAGGACTACCCAATCACACATACAACTCTACACTTACACAATTACACAATCATACACACTCACACATGACCATATACTCACACATGCACATACAACTATGCAGTCATACACACAATCATATATTCAAACAACTGCACAAACTTACAAACAACTACGTGCTCACATATGCACATACAACTACACAATTACACAACCGTATACTCACACTACACAATCACACACAACCATATTTCACACACAACCACACTATCACACCCACTCACACACATAAAGCATTTAAACCTAGACTGCATTCATTTTCAAAATAATCCCTATCTCAATGCTTTATGTATTAATATTAACACAAAAAACTGTCGACACAATGTTTTTCTGAACTAGTATCATTCATATAGAAATAATTAAATGATCTAGCTTAGTGAATTTAAAAGGCAGTCATTTAATTTACATAAAATTTGTAAAGTTTCGACTGAAATTTTTATTGTCTGTTTCTGTTGACATTGTTAGGCTCAATAAAAATAGTTTCATAGTGTTTTTAAGCAATTGCATCACTCCTCGATATCACGTGATTTGAGTTATAACACAGTCATAACTAAATCATATATTGGGAAATCTCTCATAGCTTAAAAGCCAGGCAGCCTGCAGCGGCTTTGCCTTTCTGTAACCTTCTCCTTGCATTGTGTGGTACATCCCACGGGGAGATTCTAGGCTAAGATGACACCAATGTAAAAGTAAAATCACCTGAAGAGAGCAATTATAATGTCGTTTATGAAGTTTCTCAGTGAAGTTATTTGGAAAAAAATGACTGTTTTGTGTTCTGAATACACAGAAGTTGCATAAATATTTGCTATGTCCATGGTGTTTACTTAAAACAATGCACATTTTGGTTACCGTTGCTAGTCTTAGGGTGATCTGTAATATAGGAAGTTTCTGTATTAAAAATGAGGCCCTCTTTGTACAACACATTTTTAATGTTTTGCATTACATTTGTTTAATTAGCATAAGTCAATGAAAGAAAACCTTAATAAGATTGATAATTCTGGTGGTGGGCTTTGGCTACTGAAATGAGATGCCTTTTCTAGGGATTTGCATAGACTCTGAGTGGGGCTCCCAGGGGTGAGTGCTGACTGCTAGGGGCTCCCTCCCCAGCTCACCTACCACCGGCTTTACACACAGACCCACTTCTGGGCTAGCTGCTGCTACAGACAGTCAGCTCACTCATTCCAAGATTAGCATGAATATTAACATGCCTTTCTCCACCAAAAACTTAGTGACTCTGACAACTCATCCCACAGAAACAAATAACCTCTTGATGACTATCTCTCTCTCTGATTTATTTACAATAGCTTCTTTTAATCTTGTCATTTATTACCCGCACTAACTCGGGGTTGCTAGAATCCGTCCATCCTTCCTTTTACACCTGCCTGATCGAACCATCTCTGAAACAGGAGGTCCAGTTGTTCTAACAACTTGTGAGTTCCTGCACCTTCTGCTGGGTGGTTACTTGTGCGCAGCCTTCTCTCACAAATATCAGACACAGATTTTCCACTAATTTATGTGATTATTTGCAAAGTAAGGTGTATATTCCTCCTGAAATCATTTCTTCAAGAGGGCGGAATTTCCATTTGTTGGTTAACAAAACAGGAGCAGTTGGCCTGTATGGGGACGGAGGGGATTATCCTTGTCCCAACTCTGCATCCAAAGATAACTGCCCTGTCACTCACACCACAATACTTCCCTCCTCCACCCTCCAACAATTGGTGACAACAATCGCAGTAAAAAGCTCTATTTGCTGAAAAAGTTAACTGACACCCGGATTTAAAAAATATATGGTGGATTTGCAGTTTTCTCTCACACTTAATTATCCTCTGATTCTGTATCCAGCTGAACTCCATCCTGAGTTAGCACACATTTGATAGA